GGGAATTAAACTTAAGACACGGATACGGGTAGCAATTTTGGCATCCCTTTGTGAGTATAAAAATTATAAATTTCGTAGTTTGGAGCGGCAGAAGCTAAAGGAATGCCAAAATCGCTACCCGTATCCGTATGAAAGCATATACAGTATAAGAACTACCAGACAAAGAATACCATCTCAGATACAGTATTTTCATAGTACAACAAATGGACTGGAACTGCAAAGAAAGTTCATTTGGTACCAATTTATCCATCTCCAAATACAAGATTAGACAGAGTAAGGCACTGTTTTGACCAACCACTTTAATTCCAAGCATTAAGAGCAGAAACGTCAAAGTCCATCAAAATTTTGGTTGGGCTTTTTGTGGGACCCTGGAGCTCATCATGAGGTGAAAAAAAACATAACTAAATAAAATAACTAAACATTTTTATAAAAAAAGAAAAGGGAATTAAGGCCTTGTGGAGCTTTTTTTTTTAAGAAAATGAATTTCATTAAACACATAAAGAATATAGTATAAGATATGACAACGTGCAGACAAAGTGGCCTCATTAAAACCTGAACACTTATACATCTTGTATGGTACATTACATACACTGGCCCTGCTAACTTCTAATTCATGGAAAGGTAGCAAGGTGAAAGTCAGACTTGTTGGGATGATGAAACTGGTGAGCCTTGATGACTCAGATAGTCTTCTCTTACTGAATCCTGAACTTGTGCTGCAAACTGCAAATTCCACAGAATGTCGTCAACAGAAGGCCTATCAGTTGGCTCTTTGGACAGACACCTCACACATATCTCCATCATTGTCTTCAATGATTCATCGGAGCACTCCTTGTGCACTGCTGGATCAACAATGCTCCTTCGACCCGTATCATCAGTCGTTAAACTTACTTGTAACTTCATAAGAACCAAAACCAAATTGCTAGCTTAGTTGGAGAAAGAAAATTTTATGTTTCAGGGTGTTTCAGTTCTGTCAGTATTCAGTAATGAAACAAAAGTTGGGCTTAGCTAGGGGCATATGTTCTATGCAATTTTTTGGTCTTTGCAGGATTTAATTTTCCAAACTTTTCTAACTGGGAAGTAGTAGCAGCCTAATCTTAATGTAAGAGTTTTAGAGTAAACAAAGGGAACCAATTGATTAAGAGAAAACACTCACAAGGTCTTTCAAAACACCGACTTCATTTTGGAACATGATAGGCCTCCCCAAAATGATTTCCAGCAAGATGACTCCAATATCATAAACATCATTCTTACACTCATGGCTTGCTCTGCAAAAGACGGGCAATTAACAAAGCAATCCCAGTATGCGTGCATCTGTTGTTTACTTGTATGCATAGATGAGTTTATGGCATATGTAGTTACAGATGCATTCTCTGAAATAACTAGCATTTTTTTGAAAGAATTACTAAGGCATTATTCAGGTTTCCAGGGGCCTCACATGGAAATTTTTTTCAGAAAATGAAGGATCAAGATAAATAGTATATATATAAAGAATGCAATCCCAAGCATATGAGGAAAAGATGATGCAGGAAAAATCTTTTAATTGGATCTATTTTCTAAATTAAAAGGGAAAACTGGATCAGGAATTGCTTATGAAACTATCACCAATATACAAAGTATGCAAAAATGAATAAAAAAAATTTAAAAGTTAAGTTCTGTGAGATAGTGAAACAATTGTATTGTTGGCATTTTGCACCACCAATGACAATGTACGGTTTAACCAAACAATAATGAGGTTGGGTAAACGAGAAATGACTAAGGAATGCATTTTCGTGAAGCTACATTCAATGACGATTAACTTCGTTTAGGATGGTCCCTTGTTACTACTGATGATCAGTAACTGAACCGGAAGGGAGTAATTTATAATTTTGTTGTACAAGAGATTCATGCAGGATTTGTCTAGATAGTTGAAATTGTTGGTCTTTCTTTTTTTATTTTTTGGCAGAGAAATTATTCGTCTTGTTCATTTGTGTATAAACGTGAAAAGGGAATTCAGTTTAGAAAAGTAGTGTATGATTTTGGGGAAGTAAGCATGTTAGTACCTCGGTTGAATGCTTCCTTTTGGTGCCGGAGAAGAAACTGTGGTGCCCATCTGAAGGATTAAAAAGCAATAGTTAAGTCAGGACAATCTCAAGGGTGATGCATTCACTCAAACAGATACATATTTTTTATGTCTTACCGTTCCCCTGCTTTCAGCCAAAAGAGGTAGGTTATAGCTGCTTATTTTTACATGAAGATCGTGATCCAATAAGACATTTTTTATCCTCAGATTATTTGATTTAACACCAGGAACAATCCCTGTATGCAGAAACTGAATACCCTTTGCAACTCCAATTGCAGCTATTATTCTCTGCAGCCAGGTAAGCTTCCGTCCTGGAGGTCCTTCTGCCAAACTAAGTGTTAGCAATGAATATTTAATTGCTGAAAATGCTAAGACAGTGAGGGAGGAAATCAATCAAAGAAAAAGAAGAAGAAGAAAGTAGTGAGTGGGGTTTTACTCTCCATTGCAACCTGTATGGCATGCATGCAATGTTGAGCAATTGATTAGGTCTCACCTAGAAATCTTCTAAAAAATATGAAATATTGTTGATAAATTTGGGACTTGATGCATTAGATATTATAGATTACTTTGAACAATAACTTGATTGATTTATCTTCGTTTCATATGCATTACGTGTAGAGTATGAGATAACATCTGAATCTGCAATCACTCTCTCTGAATAGCAAACCAATGGCTCATATATCAAGCTCAGAGTAGGAGCACATTCAATATATCTTCATGGAATAAACTATAAGGTCATTAGCAAATGCGATCCATTTGTTCTAGTTAGCAGTATTAAGTACATGAAAAGAACTTTACCAGAGATGCAGCCTCTGAGCGTTCCATTTGGAACAAACTCAAATATAAGAAATACTCTACTGACGCCTGAATCATCTGGATGGCACTCCAAGCAATGTCCAAGAGCGCTAACCAAATGGCTATGTCTCAGTTTTGAAATCTGCTCAAGGAGGTGTGTGTAGACCTGTGGACTCTGCCTCTTTCTCATTTTCAAGCCTCTTATAGCAACAAAGGTTCCATCAGGGAGCTTCCCTCTATATATCTGGCATTGTTATTTTATTTTGAAGCAGTAAGAGTGAGAAAATTGCTTGCTGAAAACTCTCAAGATTTCTTGAACAAAGTATATTAGTCAATAGTGCATAGGACAATTTACTAGAACAAACAGATTCCAAATTCTTGTACAAATTCAAATGATAAGTATTGGACCACTTTAACATTTATAGTAGACTTTCTGCGAACCATTGCAATATGCATAAGATCTATCTGATGGTATAACATCAATGAGTATCTTCTCAGAACGAGCAGAGTTTCACCAGCCCTTGAAAAATTCCCATTACCATTTCAGATTTGGATCCAATCCAATCGTTGAAAGTTTGATTCAAATTAAACAAAACTCAAAGGATTTTTTTTTTAAAATTTGGTCGATTTGAAAGGCTGATATATTATAACTTAACAGGAGTACCATATCTTAATATATGTTTCAAGGACACCAGGAAATACATAAGTAACCTTATTTGTTATGACATGGATATAATAAGGTTAGTGTGTCCGACGCGCCTAAATTGGAAGCATACCTTAAAAAAGGCTGCTTGAAAGGACTAGATTTGCTCCTGCAACCTCTTTTGCAAATTAGTCTTTTGTTCTCTTTCAATTTCTACTCTTTTTTCATTAAATGTGAGGCCACCTTGGAGTTTTAAAGGGAATCTTTACTCAACAGAAGCTTGTTTAAG